TCACAAAATAGTGAAACAGTCACACTGGTATTTGTCCAAATAAAAACTAAACCATCGGCAGTAAATCAGAAATCATTTACAAAATAAAAATAAAAGTATTTGTACTTAAAAGTGAAGAGAGGATGGAGAGATATTGAGAGATAGTGGGATAAGAAAATAAGATCTAGATGTCATTAAACTGAAAACAATATCAATTATTTTAATGAGAATGAATGGAGTATATGCAGTGACTACAAATGGAATTGATCACCACTGGTAAGTTCGATCGGAAATCTGAAAGATCATGGAGTGAGCTAAATAATACATTTTTATTAATCATCATATTTCATAGCTTCTTATGATAGAATCCTGCTATCTTAAAAGTGTTGCCTTCTACTGATATCTATTCACTGTCAGATGATCGCTGAAGTTTTGTTTGATCCTTCAAATAAATCAAATATCAACAACTGTGTTTCAGTATTGAGAAGTCCTGACAGACACATTACTTCACATTTGATAACCTCAGTTCATGGTGTGATTTATGCATTGACAGCTCCCATGCATTCAACTTATTTTTCAACTATTACCTATTTGCCAGCCAGCAAAAGCCAAATAAATTTCTATACTGTACATCGCCAGAAATGTCAATAATTGTCAGATATATAACTTCAAATCTTCATTGGCTTTATAACATGCGCTTTTTCTGTAATTCTCTTATTTTGTAGAGATTTACAAAGCAAAGGACAAGTGAATCTCAATTTTCTATGCCATGATACACTCTAGATATCTGACTGGGTTCTTTAAATATCTATTGTCTTTGAATAATTTCACTCTCATTTCTTATCCCAAGTTTTGAGGGTTAGGTTTGATTCAGTTGGTAACACGCTTGTCTCTGAGTTGAAATGTCGTGGTGTCAAATGTCAATCATCAGAGTCTTGAGCACATGGTCAAGGCAGGGTGGATGGATGGTGCACTGTAGGAACTGGAGGAGGTGCAGATAAATCTTTATACCAAGGTACATACTCTCCTCGTGTATAACATTATTCAAAGAACCCTAGCTCTCAAAGACTGCTAACTAACATTAGGTTCTCAGGAAACATCACTGGATTCATTGTTGGTTGAAGCCTATGCAATACAAATTGGCTACTACGTTTAACTAGATAAATATAGAACATACTAAACTCACTCTGCAGGTTTTGATGATGAAACATGGCACTGAATTAAACTCTGGTCTCCTTTTCCATTATTACTGGATGCTGGGTGCTAATTGCAGGTTTTATTCTCCACTAGATATTAAATTATTTGCCCTAATTTGTATACGCATGCTCTAGAGTGAAGGTGCTTCAATATGAAATCTCCAGGAACCATTGTAATCAGTGACTGGATGATTCAAAGGTTGCTGGAGCATTTTGCAGTCACAGAAATTTGCATTGTATATCACAGGCTGGAATAAAATTTATCAAGTGCTCCCAAGTTTGGTTGAAAGCCAGTGTTGTTTCTCCTGGCTCAACAGCCAGTGCCATAGTAGACATCAGCATGAGGATTTGTGACAGCAGAATTTTCAGCTTGGCCCCAGTGTTGGATAATGTCTGAACTGAGAAGCAATCCTGATGCACCACCCACAACTGTTGGGTTCTCTTGTTGGCTGTCCCTCTGTTGGAGGTTGATGTCTACTCAGGGTTGAAGATTTCAGCCATGGGTCTTCATGCAACTGAACATATTAATTTTTGACCTTCAGATCATTGCGTACATGATGCATGATGTTCTTCCATCAACTTTGGCCTGAATGGGGGTGACTCTTGTTGTTGGGGTGGGATATGGAGGGGAATGGGACAAATTGAGAAAAACAGCTTTCTCTATCGTTGTCACTCAGCTGTTTGGGGGAATATAAGCAAATTGGCTCTTGCATTTCTCTCATTATGACAGTGACTACACTTCAAAACTACTTCATTAGGTGTAAAGTGCTTTGGGACACCTGAGCTTGGGAAATGAGCCATTTAAAGGCACGTCTTTCTTGAGTCTGAAAGTGACAAGGATTTTTCTGCTATTAAAGAGATTTATATAAGAGCATAAGAACCAGGAGCAGGAGTGGGCAACTCACACCCTCAAGCCTACTCCTCCATTCAATATGATCAAGGCTGAATTCACCTCGGCATCAACTCCACTTCCCTACCTGGTCTCTGTATCCCTTCAACCCAGCACTAATTAAATTTATCTATTTCTTCCTTAAATTTACTCAATGCCCTAACATCCACCACACTCTCGGGTACTGAATTCCACAGATTCACAATCCTTTGAGAGAAGTAATTCTTCCACATCTCTGTTTTAAATCTGCTACACCTTATCCTAAAACGATGACCTCTTTGTTGTCTATGAATGAGCAAAAATATAATTTCTACTTAATGGTTAAACCCTAATAGCTTACCGTATTCTGGTATTTTTGATTGAAACTGGTCAGGTGTGTTGTTGCTTATAGTAACTGATTGAGTGTATTTGCACAGCGAACATCAGGTGCTGCTATGTTGCATCATCAGCTCAAGATGACACAGTTTTCTTTCTAATTGGCATTTATCCACTAGCCTGCATGTTTATTTCCAAATCAACTTGTTCAAAAATGCTAGTATATGCTTCTGAAGCAGATGGGATTTGAACTCCTGGCCCAGAGTTAAGGACACTATTTGAATCCAGCTGCAATCAGAGACACTTTACAATTATTTTCTAACCAATCTGTTCAGTGATGCTATTAAATCTGGAGATGTTGTGACTTGAACCCTGGATTTCTCATCCAGAAGTGAAGAAGTGTCACTGGACTCGAAACATGAACTCTGTTTTCTCTCCACAGATGCTGCCATACCTTCAGAGTTTCTGTTTCTGAATTAAAATTGCAAGTTGCTTTACAATCAATTGTAATGAATTTATAATTAATATACTTACGTGTAAAATACATTTGGTCTCTTATAGGAAACATATTATTAAATTGGAGAGGATTCAGAAAAAATTTACCAAGATGTTGTCAGTACTGGAGGTTTTGAGTTCCAGAGAGAGGCTGGATAAGTTGGGATGTTTCTCACTGGAGAAAAGGATGTTGGTACCTTATAAAGGTTTATAAAATCATGAAGGGCATGGATATGGTGAATAGCCAAGGTCTTTTCCCTATGGTTGTGGGGGGGTGAGGGGGGTTGGTGGTTCAAAACTAGAGGGCATATTTTTAAGGTGAGAGGAGAAAGATTGAAAAGGGACATGAGGGGCAACTTCTTCAAACAGAGGGTGGTTCATATGTGGAATGCCAGAGGAAGTGGTAGATGCAGGTACAACTCCAACATTTAAAAGACATTTGAACAGGTACATGAATAGGGAAGGTTTAGAGGGACATGGAGCAAATGCAGGCAAGTGGGACTAGTTTAGTTTGGTCGGCCTGGATGAGTTGGACTGAAGGGTCTGTTTCTGTGCTGTATGACTCAATAACTCTATAACTCCATTTGATTTAGACCCTTTCCCATTTCCCTGCCTCTTCCTCAGCTTTGAGGCTTGCATTGCCTTCAACAGATTTTACCTGTAAATAAATCAATTGGAAATACAGGTGATTTTCTGGTTGTGGTTAATAGATGAAAAAAAATCTGTGGGGATTTGGTGAGGGGAACAAAAACATTCAGTTTTTTGTAAGAGCTCTTCTGGATATATAAAAAAGAAAACTAAAGTGCATGGGGGGTGGTTGGGACTTTTGTGGTAGTGTCCCCAGTCTTTGAGCCATGAATGCCTCAGTTCAAGTCCCACCCGATCTAGAGGTATATACTGAACAGGTTGAATAGGAAAATATGTAAAAATGTGTTAGAAGCATATGACCATTAGAAATAATTACCATTTAACAGTACAAACTACTGTGACTCAATCTTACCAGAAATTGATTAAGTGTCAGTTTTGTCAAGTTTCAAAGTTGGTATCTCACTGAGGAGCCTAGTGAATTTCACCAATAATTGTCCCAAACCTGCCTCAGTAGCCAACTACCATGACCCCTCACTAGCACAGTTCTCCCACTTACTCCTACCAAAGGTACCCACAATGTCTCTTCATCCAGTCTGAGGAGAAAATTTTGGCCCTGGTAGGCATTGAGTCAGACCCCTTGCGGAAATACATAAACCTCCACATTCTTTCGCCGATCAAGTTTGTTATTATGCTACCTTCCCATTACCCCCACTGTGAATGTCCTATTATCATTACCACAATGTCTGTCCCGTGGTTGGAACACTTTCTTTCTTTTGCCTCCTGTGGGTTCAAGCAACAAGTTCACAGCCTCTGTTCTCAACAGGGCAGCTGCTCAAGACATTCTGTCTTCCACCTCTAATGAAGAGAGCACAGATGCCTGAGAAGAACAGCTGGTAGGGCTTCCTCTTCATTCACCCACCAGCACTGTTAGGAACATTTGAGAGACATGGATATTCTGACACGAGGAGGTTGTTATGTTGATACCTAGGTTCCTATTTTTGGCAAAACTACTCTGCACTACTTCTGTTAAACTCCAGCCTGTCACTATACTCATTTACTGTGCAAATACTCTCGTGATCAGGAATTCTTCTCAAGTCAATCCATGTCAATGACAGCGTCACAAGTACAGGACTGGTTGTACACATGAGTAAAATTATTAGCATCCATTAACATACTTTCAGAAATGCATTTATTTTTAGGAAACTATTTCCACTGAGCATGTGTGATTGGAAAGGATTATCAGTACTTTATGAGTTTGATTACAAAAAGGTCAGAATTTTCTATTCCAGCTTGGACCATTGGACCATTCCATCTTAGATCATCTCATGCAGCATTATTCATTTACAAAAGCAAGAAATAAACATTATTAGCAATTAGCAATTGTAACAAAGATTATATGTTTCAACATAGGGCTTGCAGTTTGACAAAGTAAACGTGAACAATTTCTGCTAGCACTAATTATGATAAAAATGTTACCATAAACCACAGGATTTACAGATCAATATCTTAAATTTTCCTTGTCAGTTTGGAGCTTTACTTGAAATGTCATCATTATTTGTGAACAAACTGTAATGCTTGTCCAATCAGGCTTGAACTTTCTAAACATGTTAAAAAAAAGCTGTACAACTGATCAATTTTAATGTGACACTGTAGAACAAATTGACAAAACAATTAAAGGCTATATTTCCTCAAAGTGTTTCATTTATGTTGCATTTTGCTTGTAACATCAAATCACAGAATAATCTCAGTTTCTCCACACAATGATATACAAATATATAAGTAATGTTCCCAACATTGTCAAAGTACAGCAATGTTCTTGATCAGCATTTCCCTTTGAAAATATTCATGAGATTCATTGCAGCAGTTTCTCAGTTATTGGGTGAGAGGAATATCCTCTGCTCATGGAAACAGACCAAACTTCATATTCCTTTTGATTCATATTAGAACATAAAAATAGGAATAGGTAATTTAGCCTCTCAAGTCTGCTCCACCATTCAATGAGATCAGAATTACCATTTGAAAAAGACACTTCCAAACCTCTACCACCCTTTCACATAGACGTTTTTTCTAACCTCACTCCTGAAAGGACCTGCTTTGAATATTTAGGCTCTATGCCCCAGTTCTGGATTCCCAAACGAGGAGAAATAATTTCCTTTGCTAATCAGTTCCCCATAATATCTTGAAACCTCCAATCAAATCTCCTTTGAAACTTCTAATTTCCAAATTCAAGCCTTACGACCCTAGCTTGTTTAGTCTTGCCTTGTAATTCAATCCTTGTGTGTCCAGATAGAGTTCTAGCAAATCTACTGTGCACTCCCTCAAAAGCTAATGTACTGTACATAAAGTTGGTGCCATCCTGTGTCATAAACACAGTGTCCAACTGAGGCTTTGCGTAGCTGTAGCATGACTAAAAACCTCTTGTATTCTAGCTTTGAGTTATTAAGGCTAATGCTATTCTGAAGACCAGCATTCAATGGGCATATCAGTTTATGAATAGATGTTTTGCTTTATAGGGCATAGTATTCCTGCCTCGAAGCCAGAAGCTCTGGATTAAAATTCAATCTAAGGACTCGAAGGCTAACGATGGTATATTCATAATGTGGCCAGACAAGTTGAGGATGAACCTGTAACTCCTTCCAATACTTCAAAAAGAAAGTTAACAAAATTGGGAGCAAATTCTGTTCAGCCATTTGCTCAGGTCAAGTCCCACACAGGGACTTAATGGCCAAAAGGAAGTGTGATTGTAATGTAGCCTCAAAGGTTTTGTACCAATCTGCAAGACTACCCCGTGGCAGGCAATAAGAGCAGGAGAGATTCCTGGTCAGCCATATGATGGAAGGAAAATTGCAGTCTCCATGTCATGATTCTTGACTCTGGACTACAGTATATCTTGAAAAGTGTGTGTTCCCACAACAATACTCACTCCTTGATCATGTTATTGTTTGGGGGTGGGGAGGGGGAATGGTTTATCTCAGTTGGTGAGGATCAAATCAGTGCCAATAACACAGAGTTTGATCCCAATCCTGCTTGGGGTGGAGTCAGGACATAAGCTTAGTCCTACTGAGTGGTGGAGATTGCAGCAGCATGAGACAGACTTGTCTTCAGTCAAAAAAAAATGAAAAAGAGCAGGCGAACAATCTACTGTGCCAGTTTTCCATTGAATTGATGAAGGTGACATAAATTTTTGAAGGAGTAAGTTGTGTGAGGCTGTAGGATTTGGATAATGAGGGAAATAAATTCTGCAACATTATCTCTCTGTGTTTCAGATTAGCAGCACCTGCAGTCTTTTGCCTTGATATTGATAGATGCCAAGATCTGAAACATTCTTTCTACATTAAAGGATGGAGGTTCCTAGACTGTTACTCTGGATGTATTATCTTGTTGTTAGTGATAGTGAGATCATGGCAGCCTTGTAGAAAATAATAAAGGAAACCACAGAACCAAAGTTACAGCATGTTCCTTGAAGAGACAATCCTATACAGATCTTTCGATTGTTAATTCCACTGCTGTACTGTCTAGTCAGATTTGACCTGTATATTCTGAACTGCTTTAATGCTACCCATTAACCAATTCCTGCACCATAACTGTTACTAACTGAAATATATTATGCAGTGGCTTGGACAAAACAAAGACAAGAACATTTTCCATAAATTTCAATGTGTATTTTTGGACACATTGATTTCTGAACTTAACTTTACTTATTCTCCAGGAGATCAATTTGCTTGAGCTATTTAGTTTATTTCCTTTCCATATGAAATTGAATTAAACTCAAGAGATATGAAACTAACAAGCTTCAAAGATATAGGATATGTAGCTAGTGGACCAATTTTGAAGCATCTTTGTGCAGAAGAGGTGAGAGATCAGCAGGAATTCCAATCCATTGAGGTAAGAAAGCAGCCTCATATTTAAACACTTTTAGAAACTGAGATTCAGGTAAAGTAAAGTTTGTGAGATAAATTGTCTCCCCACCTGCCAAGTAGCCAGCCCAGAAACCAAATGTTCCGATTGTCATTATTGTGTGGTTACAATGTGCAAGAATAGAAAAGTCAAAAGCTACAGTGGCCTGCTTTGGATCATCTGAAAAGTAAACATCTCCTTTGGAGTTATTAATGTTTTGCTTACACCAGTCCATTCCATTGCTTGTCACTGCAAAAACCACATTTTTGTATTTATTTCTGAAGTAGGCCATTGCTGTGTCTAAATATTTCTTATCAGCTATAACTCCTTTCCAAGCATTTGGCATGACATGAATATAATCTCCCCTTCGAACATGAACACCAACATAAGTCACATTCTTTCTCTCACCTCTAATGCGTCTGAGGAATACATCCGTCTGTTCTACAATAAAGTCGTGCAAAGTAAACTCACGAAGAATTTCTGACCGGATATGATGGTAGAAGGTCCAGGAACAGGTGTATCCTGAGAGCCGGACATAATCTCCTTGAATACTACGGTAACTATCCTCCATCCAATCATGGAGATAATAATTCTTCCATTTTATTCTCTCTCCCACACTGCCATGGAGGGTTGGAAGAGTAATTTTGAAGATAGGGGACAGGTAATTGGCCATGGAAGGTAAAATATACGCTTGATGGCCATTCAATTTTGCCAATGCATATAGTGTTGCATACTCCCCCATCTGGTTGCCAAGTCGTCCAATGGAGTTAATTGTCCAAAATCCCTTTGAAGAAATCATCGCCTTTTCAGAGCCATTCTCTGTTCCACATTCCAATGTAGTGGTTGCATTTTCAAAAGCTTGGAAATATTTGAATATTAGGTCATATTTTAACTGATACTTATACATTGTAGAAACTGTCATTATGAAAAGAAACAAAGATACAAAGGCCAGCACTTTCATGACTGGCCAAGCACAAACTTCCATCAAACGAACCATATCCAGAGACTCTTCACCTTATGATTAGAAGTTTACAATTTCCTGAAGTGGAGTTTCTGAAAATCCAGAAATTGCTTATTAATAAAACATCAATGATGAAGGACAAGTTTCCAAATATTGCTGTAGGATTATTTATTTTACAAAGGCCCTTTTGAGAAATAAGTATGATGAATTTTTGATAAAACTGAGGGCATAACAACTTAGTGCAAATTGATATAAAGTAACAGGATAGATATGCGATGAAAATGTAGCTTCACAATTGGCAGGTGGAGACTTGGGGAGAACCATTTAATTGTTAGATGTTACAGGCCTTACACTGTTTCAGGGTTGATTAATTTGGTAACAGAGGCTTTCTATTGAACTGAATCAGTTTTATCCTCTATTTGCTGAAAAGGGAAGATCAAGAAGAAAGCATATGTGTCATCCAATGGAGGGTTTTCCAATGGAGAACATGGCTTTGTGCCTTTAATGGCCCGTCTACAGGTGTAGAGCGATGAACAGAAGTGATACTGTCATGGCAAGAGCTCCCACTTTGTTGATGCATCACTAGACCAAGAAATTAGTTACCGCAAATGCTCACTACCTTGACAGCATCCATGGTGCTTTTATCTTTGCATCAGTTTTCCTTACAAACAACCTTCAGGCCTCTTTTTTATATACTCATAGAAGCTTTTAGTGTGGGATTTTGTATTTCCTGATCAGTTCATCTCATTTTCCAAATTCTCCTTTTTTAAATTTATCCCTTGCTGATTTTTAACATGTTTCTGATCTTCTAAGTATGAAACTTTGTCCTGTTATTCATCTTTTCTTTCAATTTAATACCATTGTTAATTACTTTCTTTACCCCCAAATGGTGTATCCTTCTTGTTGAATCCAAATTTCTCAAAGGAATTGACAGTTACGAAATAGCTTCTGAAATGTCTACCATCACTTCTCTGTCTTGGTATCTATTTTCCCAGTCCACTTTCGTCATTTTTATGTTTGCACTTGCCTTTACTTAAGCTTAAGGAACTAGTTATGGATTCATATCTCATAATCTCAAACTGACTGTGAAATTCTATCATCACATGTTCACTCTCACCCACAGGACACTGTATTATTAATGATTCATTAATTAATTCCGTATCATTACACATGACCACATTGAAAATAGCTTGTTCCGTAATTGATGTCTTAAGGAATTGTTCTAACAAATTGTCCTGAATGTACTCTAAACTCATTGCCAAGGCTGCCCTTCTTACTTTATTCTTCATAGAGATGAAATAAAGAGAATAAAGTCTTCCACAATTATAATATTTCAGTGCAGCCCATTCTGGAAGCAACCAGAGAGCAGGCTGAACTAAACTTGGTATTATTTAATGTGACAGGATTATTTAATAACCTCACAGTAAAGGCACCTCGGGGTAGTAGTGATCAAACTATGATTGAATTTTACATCCAGTTTAAAAGGGGGAAGAATGGGTCTAAGACTAGTATGTTAAAGTTAACTCCAGGCATGTATGAGTGCATAGATAACACAGAGTGGAGCTGGACAAGCCAGGCAGCATCAGAGGAGCAGGAAAGCTGACATTTCGGGTCAGGACCCTTCTTCAGAAATGGGGGATGGGGAAGAGAGCTCTGAAATAAATAGGGAGGAGTGGTGGTGCTGGGGAAGGTAGGTGGGATGGTGATAGGTCAGTGCAGGTAGGCAGTGGTGGGGATGGGTCAGTGAGGTGGGAGGACTGGACAGGTGGGAGAGAAGATGGACAGGTTGTGTCAGGTCAAGGAGGTGGGGATGAGATACATCGGTGAGACCAAGCGTAGGCTCAAAGATCGCTTTGTAGAGCACCTATGTTCTGTTCGCGAGAAACGACAACACCTTCCATTCATGAACCATTTCACCTCCCCCTCCCACTCCCTGGGCGACGTATCCATCCTGGGCCTCCTCCAGTATCACAACGATGCCACCCGCAAACTGGAGGAGCAGCATCTCATATTCCACCTTGGGAGCCTACAGCCCAATGGTCTCAATGATCCTCCCACTTCACTGACCAATCCCCACCACTGCCTACCTGCACTCACCGATCACCATCCCACCTACCTTCCCCAGCCCCACCGCTCCTCTCTCTATTTATTTCAGAGCTCCCTTCCCCTTCCCCCATTTCTGAAGAAGGTCCTGACCTGAAACATCAACTTTTCTGCTCCTCTGATGCTGCCTGGCCTGTTGTGTTCCTCCAGCTTCACATTGTGTTATCTTTGACTCCAGCATCGGCAGTTCTTACTATCTCTAATGATGTGTGCATGAATATTGAGCTAGCTGGGGCGAACTGGTATATTAGGCTAGGAGTTGGTCAGTAGAGAAGCAGGTGCAAATACTTGAAGGGATTTTTCAGAATACTGAGAATACATATATTCCTGCTATAAAACAAAATTCCAAGGGGATGATCGAACATCCAAGTTCAGCTAAAGCAGTAGGGAAAGCATCAACTTTAAGGGAAAAAATAACATATATTTTGTGCAAAGATGAGTGGAAGGTCAAGTAACTTGTCAGAATATAAAGAACAGCAGAGAATGGCTAAAAGGTTAATGTGGACAAATAAATTAGAGCATGAGAGGAAGCTAGCTGAAAACAGATAGCAAGAGTTTCCATGGATATTGGAAAGCAAAAGTATAAGTAAAGTGAGTTTTGGTCATTTGGAGGTTGAGATTGGGGAGTTAGTAATCTGGTTGTAAAGAAGTGGTAGATTGAATGAATAAATATTTTTGCTTCTTTTTTCAATATAGACAGTACAAGAAAAAATTCCAGGAAGACCTGCAAATCAGGGGCTTGAAGAAAGAAAAGTACATGGTGAAACTGAAATCACTTTGGGACCAGTGATCATAATTCGATTAGCTTTAAAATAGTTACATAAAAGGATCAACCTTGTATAAAAGTTAAAGGTCTTGATTGGAGTAAAGCAAATTCTGATGATATGAGACAGAAACCTTCAAAAGTTGATTAGAGTAGACTGTTTGTATGTAAAAAGATGACTTGCAAGTGGGAGGCTTTCAAAAATGAGATAATGAGAGTTCAGAGGCAGTATGATCTCGTTAGAAGGAAGGATAAGGCTGGTAGGAGTAGGGAACAATGGATGAATAAAGTTATTGAGGATCTGGTTAAGAATAAGAAGGAGGCTTATGTTAGCTACAAACAACTGGGATCAAGTGAATCTCTTGAAAAATATGAGTGGTAGAGGCATTCTTAAGACAGAAATCAGGAGGACAAAATGGAGATATGAGATAGCTTTGGGAGATAAGGTTAAGGATATTCCAAAGAGATTCTACGAGTACATTAAGAGCAAAAGAACAACCAGGGAGAGAATAGGGCCCTTTAAGATCAACAGGGTTGTCTGTATGTGGAAACACCGTAGATGGGAGAGATACTAAAGGAATATTTCATATCAGTATTTACTGTGGAGAAAGACATGAAGGCTAGTCAACTTGAACAAATAAATATTGATGTTTCGAAAACGGTCCACATGACAGAAGAGGAGGTGCTGGAGGTCTTAAAATCCATAAAGGTGGATAAATCTTTGGCACCCGATCAAGTGTATCCCAAGGTGCTGTGGGAAGCTAGAGAAGAAATTTCAGGGCCCCGAACAGAGATATTTATATTATCTACAGCCATGGTTGAGACACCAGAGGACTGGAAGGTAGCTAATGTTGTGCCTTTGTTTAAGAAAAGCTGCAAGGAGAAATCTGGGAACTATAGGCTGGTGAGTCTGACATCAGTGGTGGCTAAGGTGTTAGAGAGGATTCTGAGAGATAAGATTTACATTGCATTTGGAGAGGCAAGGACTGATGAGAGATAGTCAGCATGGCTTTGTATCTGGTAGATGGCGTCTCATGAACTTTATTGAATTTTTTGAGGATGTGTCCAAAAAAAAAGACGAGGGCATAGCAGTAGACGTTGTCTACATAGACCTTAATAAAGCCTTTGACATGGTTCCACATGGTGGTCTGGTCAGTAAAGTTAGATCACATGGGATTCAGGGAGAGCTTTCCCATTGGACAGCAAATTGGCTTGATAGTAGGAGACAGAGGGTGATGGTGGAGGGTTGCTTTTTGGGACTTGAGACCTGTGACCAGCGGTGTTCCACAGGGACTGGTGCTGCGCCCACTGTTGTTTGTCATTTATATAAGTGAATTGGATGAGAATTTTGGAGGCATGGTTAGTAAATACCTGAATGATAATGTATTTGGTGTTAAAGTGGACAGTGAAGAAGGTTATCTAATGTTACAAAGAGATCTTGATCCTTTGAGCCAATAGACTGAGGAGCAGCGGATGGAGTTTAATTCAGATAAATGTGAGGTATTGCATTTTGGTAAGCAAAAAAGAGCAAGATTTTATACATTTAATGATGTAGCCTCGTGTAGTTTTGTCAAACAGAGAGACCTAGAGGATCAGGTGCATAGTTCTTTGAAAGTTGCGTCACAGGTAGATAAGGTGGTTAAGAAGCCAATTAGCACGCTTGCCTTCGTTGCTCAGACCATTGAGTATAGGAGTTGGGACGTCATGTTGATGTTGTACAGGACATCGGTGAGGCCACTTTTGGAATAGTGTATTCAGTTCTCGTCACCCTGCTGTAGGAAGGGTTTTCTTAAACTGGAGAGGGCTAAGGCAGATTTACCAGGATATTGCCAAGACTGGAGGGTTTGAGTTATAAGGAGAGGCCAAATAGACTGGAACTATTTTCACAGGAGTTTTAGGCATTGAGGGGTGATCTTATAAAAGTTTATAAATCATGAGGACCATAGATAACATGAATAGTAAAGGCCATTAACTTAGCATAGGGGAGTTCAATACTAGAGGCATATTTTTAAGGTGAGAGGAGGAATATATAAAAGGGACATGAGGGGAAACTTTTGCACACAGAGGGTGGTTTATACGTGGAATGACTGCCAGAGATAATGGTAGATGTGGGTAAAATTACAACATTTCAAAGACATTTGGACAGGTACATGAATGGGAAAGGTTTAGAGAGATAAGGGCTAAATGCAGGCAAGTGGGACGAGTTTAGTTTGGGAAACTTGGTCGTCATGGATGAGTTGGATCAAACAGTCTGTTTCTGTGCACTATGACTCTGTGACTCTGTAGCTATAACTAATGGAGCTGCGGGTTGATAATTCACCAGGTCCAGATTGACTTCATTCAGTGTCTTAAAAGCAATGATTAATGAGGTAATACATGCTTTAAGGTTGATTTTGTTAAATTCTTTAGATTCGGACATGGTTCCATAAGAGTGAATGTAGCAAACATAAGCATTCTGTTCAAGAAGGGAGGGAGGCAGAAGGCAGGAAACTACAGGCCAGTTAGCTGATGTCTTTGGTGGGGAAAGTGTTAGGTTTGCTCATTAAGGAGGCATTTGGAAAAGCTCAAGCAATCAGGAAGAATCTTCATGTATGAAAGAAATATTGTGTTTCACCAATTGTGAGTCTTTGAAACAGTGACAAGCACTGTGAATAAAAGGAAGCTGGCAGATAAACTATACTTAGATTTCCAGAGAGCACTGGACAAAGTGCTCCACGAGAGATTATTGTGGAAAGTTGGAGCTCATAGTGTAGGGAGTAACATACCAGTAAAGATGGAAGATTGGTTGACTGGCAGAAAATAAAGTGCATGTGTAAGTGGGTCTTTATGATTAGCAATGCAATGAGTGGAGTCCTATAGGGATCTATGTTGGCACTCAAACCTTTTACAATTCATAGCAATGACTTAGATGAGTGGATGAAAGGGATGACAGCTAAGTTTGCAGATTACACAGATTAGATCAGAAAGTGTGTTGTGAAGATAACAAAGTAAGTACTGACACAGATAGGTTAAACGAGCGAGCATAAATCTGTCTGACTGAGTATAGGGAGGGCAAACGAGAAGTTGTTCACTGTTGCAGGAGGAATGGAAAAACAGAATAATAAATAAATGGAAAGTGACTTCAGTATTCCAAAGTGCAGAGGTGTTTACGTGTTCTAGTTCCTGAATCACAAAATGCTAGTGTGCAGGTAAAGCGAGTGATCAAGAAAACTAATAGAATGCTATACTTTATTGCAAGAAGTATTGGACATCAATGTAAGGGTGTTGATCATCAGTGAGACAGAGCATTGCTGACAGTACATCTCGAATACTCTAGTTTTATTCTTCTTTTGTAAGAAAGCACCTAAATGCTGAGGAGGCAATTCAGAGACTCTTTACCAGATTGGTACTTAGAATAGCAACTCTCTTATGGGCAAACATTAAACAGCTTGGGCTTCTTCTCCTTCTGGAGTTTAAAAGAGTGAGGCATTTCCTCTTGTCAGTGAGTGCAGAGCTAGAGGGCACTGTTTTAAAATAAGGGGTCACTCTTTCTAGACATTGACAAGAGGCATTTCTTTTCCAGAAGGCTGTGGGACTATGGAAATCTCTACCTCAGAAAGTGGAGAAAACAAGGCCAGTGAACATTTTTGAAGCCATGGTAGATACATTATTGCTCAGTAAGTGAATCAAAGACTGTTGGATCATCCAGGAAAGTTGGGAGTGTTCCATTATCTTCCTGCCTTGACCCTTGTAGATGGTGGACAGGTTCTGGAGAGTCAGGAGATGGGTTACTCACTGTAGTTTTCCTAGGTCTCTAATCTCCTCTTGTAGCCACTGTATACATCCAGTTCAGTTTCTGGTCAATGGTAGCCCCCAGTTGTTGATAGCGGGAGTTCAGTGATTTTAACATCATTGAATGTTAAGGGGTGGTGGTTGGATTATCACTTATTGCAGACAGTCATTACCTGGCATTTGTATGGCATGAATGTTACTTATTACTTTTCAGCCCAAATCTGAATACTGCCCAGGTCTATTTGCAATTTGACCTTGACTGCTTCAGTATTTGAGGAGTCTTGAATGGTGTTGAACATTGTACAATCATCGATAAATGTCCTCACTTCCGACCTTATGATGACGAAGCAGCTGAAGATGGTTAGATCTCGGGCATACCCTGAAGAACTACTGAAGAGATGGCCTAGAGCTGAGATGACTGATCTCCAACAGCCACAACCCTCTTCCTACATGCCAGGTTATCTGCAACTAGTGGAGAATTTCCCCTGATTCCCATTTTGCTGAGGTTCTTTGATGCTACTTTCAGTCAAATATAGCCTTAATGTCAAGGGCAGTCATTGTCACTCTCCTTCCGGAATTCAGGCCTTTTGTCCATGTTTGAATCAACACTGTAATGAGGTCAAAGATAATAAGAACTGCCGATGCTGGAGTCAGAGATAACACAGTGTGGAGCTGGAAGGACATTTTCATTTTCTGAAATAACAAGGTGTAGAGCTGGATGAACATAGCAGGCCAGGCAGCATCAGAGGAGCAGGAAAGATGACGTTTCAGGTCTGGACCCTTCTTCAGAAATTCATTTTTCAAAGAAGGGTCCCGACCTGAAACGTCAACTTTCCTGCTCCTCTGATGCTGCCTGACCTGTTGTGTTCCTCCAGCTCTACACTGTGTTATCTATGTATTGAGGTCAGGTTTTGAGAGGCCCTGGAGAAACCCAAACTGGGCGTCACTGAGCAGGTTATTGCTGAGCAGGTGCTGCTTGAAAGCAATCCTAAACTGTACTCCTAACTCATGCCTCCACATTTTAACTCTCAGGTATTGTGATCTGTGGCTCTCCCTCTTGGAACCATGATGTCCCTGGCTTCAGGACCACACTTCTCAAGTGAAAGGTCAGATAGTATCTCTATCTCACTGCACCAAATTCCTTCACTTACCAAATTCCCTGATTGAGGCGCTAGGTGTCACTACTTGTATTCTTCAGCTTTGTGCCACGTGCTTGCTGTTAAAACATTCCAGTACGCAAATGTCTCCACTGAAAAGATAAAGCCATACTTATGCCCTGAAGAACCGAAGGAGCAAAATTAATTGAAACTGCAAGCGTTAGATTTGTACATGGGCAGTAATACCATGATATGACATGTTTACAACATCAATGCTAAATTGTTTGAAAACTGATTATAGTGATGCTATATTCTCAAAACCATTTTATTCATTCACAGGATGAAGGAATCAAAAGCCAAATCAGCATTTATTGCCTATCCCTAACAGCCCAGGGGGCCGTTGGGAGTCAACCACATGGTGTGGATCTGGAGTCATATGTAGGCCAGACCAGTTCAGGATGGCATTTTCATTTCCTAAAGGACACGAACGAAACAGATGGGTTTTTCTGACAATCGATTCATGGTCATCATAAGACTCTTAATTGCAGATTTCTATCGAATTCAAATTCCATCATCCAGCCACAGTGGAGATTTGAACCTAGGTCCCCAGAACATTGCCTGGGTCTCTGGATTAACAGTCCGGCAGGGCATTGCCACAATCACTACGCCCATGCCTCCCCACTGAAAATAAAACTTTTATACCTTTGATTAAACAGATTTACCCGTTCTTTGAGCAATTGTTGCCTGAGCGAAGAAAACGAAGGAGGTGAAGCAAGAATTGGACAGGGTGTAATGATATTGCGAGGGAGGAAGAAGTCATTGAGTGTGGCGTATTATGGTCCAAACCCAATTTGTGGCTATTGGAGATGTGATGCACCTGCTCATTCACTTGTTTCAATCTCACGGAACAAGCTTAGTATAAAGCCAGGACCCAGAGTGACTTAACTGAGCCTGCAGAATTGATCAGTCACTCCCTGAAGGGAAAAATGGATAGTCTTTATTAATCAGTTACAATCAGACAGTAATGTTCTTGGATATAATAAGGATCCAGATGAAACCTCCACTGAAAAGGACAATGGAATTGGGTTCTTCAAATTGTTGATACAGAAAACCATGAGACACAATATAACTTTAAAAATATGTAACAGTTTATTAAAGCATCAAACAAACAGTTCAATGTTAAGGTGGAAAGTAAGATAGGATGCTATGACCTTAGTGAAAATGGACTATCAATATTTAATACCTGAAACTTTCATGAGTTAAAAAAGTGAGACAAGGGAAAATAGATTTGTGCGCAAGAGTTGACATTTTTTTCCACTCTCTCTCACCTAGAAGCTAGCAGATGAAAAACAAATCAGAACGGCAGTCACGATTCACTGCAAATTCATGCACATCTGTAGCTTTGCCATAATAACAGAAACCAGACAGCAGTAAACTGCTGAATTCAGGTATTTTCATTCTAACCATTCAAAAACTCTGAAACTCTGTAAAATGCTCCTTCTTTACCCATATCTCTCACCTTCTTTCTATCACACACATCTGAGAGTGTATGTAGTTGTTGTCATGTTTTATTACATTTTTTCATGGAACTTACTCTCCTACATTTTTCATCTGGTGAACAAAGTTTGCTTGAACAGTTCTGAGGAAGTGTCATCGGACCTGAAATGTTAATTCTGATCTTTTTCTCCACAAATGCTGCCAGACCTGCTGAGCTTTTCCAGCAACTTCTGTTTTTGTTGCTTGAAATGTGGTGGCTATGTGCTAAAAAAGCAAAGAATATTTGTTGGCACTGATCAATGTTGGGGGAGGGGGAGGTGTTTGAAGGTGATGTTGTTTAAGGTGAGCTGTGATTCCTCCTCATCCAGTCATAAGAAATTTGTGGGTTGATTGTTCCATTCAAACCTAGTGACTAATGAAAGAGTTTGGAGGGGGAAAACAAATTGCTTTTTCAAAAGTTTTGCTTATTTTAAAAAAAATTAGAAGCTATGGAAAGATTTTCTTGAGAGTCTAACATTTAAAGTGTTAAGATGTCCTGGTTTGCTGTCAATGCTTCCATAGATCAGAATAAAATAGCTTTTGAGATTCTAACAGCTTTGGCCCTGGAAGAATTAAAAGTAAATCATTAAGTTGTTAAAGATAGAGTTCCAACTGAAAGCTAGAAAAGAGAATTGCAAAATGATGGCAAAGTCTCTTGTGCTGGAAAGTGAGCAAAATGAAACAGGTTAATTTGTAATAAGAGATAACAAGGTGTAGAGCTGGATGAGCACAGCAGGCCAAGCAGCATCAGAGGAGCAGGAAAGCTGACGTTTCCAGTCTGGGTCCTTCTTCAGAAATGAAAACCTTGTTTTCATGAAAATGAAAACCTTACACCTTGTTATCTCAGATTCTCCAACATCGGCAGTTCCCACTATATCAGGTTAATTTGTAAGATTTGCTCATGGGACATGGACATTGTTTGTTGGGCCAGCACTTATTGCCTGTCCCTAGTTGACCTTCAGAAGCTGGTGGTGAGCTGCCTATTTGAACCACTGCAATTTATGTGCTATAGGTCGACCCACAATGCCCTTGGACAGGAAATTATAGGGTTTTGACACCACGACACTGAAGGAACAGTGATATAATTTCAAGGCAGGACGGTGAGTGACTTGGAGATGCCCTCATGTATCTGCTGTCCTTATCTCTCGAGATGATAGTGGCCATGGGTTTGCAAAGTGTTGTGTAAGGAATCTTGGTGAATTTCTGGAATGTTCCTTTTGGATGGTATAAAGCGCTGCTGTTGAATGTCAGTGGTGGCAGGAGTGAATGTTTGTGAACGTGATGCCAATCAAGTGAATATCCTGAACCCCAATGACAGGAGAGACCAGCACATCAGTGCGAAAGATAAGGCTGAAGATTTTGCAGCAATCTTCAGCCAGAAGCATCAAGAGGATGATCCACCTTGGCCTCTTCCAGCTATCCCTGGAATCACAGATACCAGCCTTCAGCCAATTTGATTCGCTCCAACAGATATTCAAGAAGTGTTTGGAGGCATTGGGTGGCAAAATTCCAGCAATAGTACTGAGGACTTGTGCTACAAAAGTAGCCACACCTTTAGCCAAGCTGTTCCAGTACAGAAAGAGGAGGAGAGGGACAAACAGGAAAAAATGAAGAACAGAGATTTCCAGGCAAGAAAGAATGAAAAGGATAAGGCAATGTAATTTAAAACATCTTGAACTGAAAACATGTTCAGTAAGACACCACACCGAAATTAGCCTGGACGTCCCAGGTCTTCATACTTGTATATTTCCTCCCAAAATTTGACAAGAAAGAGTTAGGCACCTTCTTTATTACTTTTGAACGATTAGCACAGCTGTCAGAATGGCCAGTCTATTGTTTGGCATTGCTGCTATGGAGCAAACTGATAGGAAAAGCTCAACAACATTTGATTTTGAGATCAACTATTGCAAGAGCCATATAGGCAAAAGGTTCTGTATCCTGAAGGAACCGGCCTGATTAGTTATACTGAGAATATAAATGGCTGATGCAGTTCACATTTGACCATTAGTGCAGCCACTTAACATTGTAGCCACCCACAAAGACCCACATGAGGTAATTCTCCTCAAGAGATTCAAAAACTCCATATCCTTTCCAATTCAGATTCATGTTGAGGTGCAGATTATAGCAGGGCCCAAACAAGCAGCAAATCTGACTGATGTCTATGAATTAACACATGGATAGAAAAAGTCAGGGAAGCAAGTGTCTGAAAGCTGTCACAAACCAGAAAAAGGTAGGGGTGAGGTAAATACTGCAGAGACAGCCTGGAGAAAAATTGGAGGTGAGACAGAGAATGTAGAACTCTCACTGACCATTTAATGGGAGACAGGCGGGTTACTGTACCAAATGCTTTCATTGCCAAAAAAAGGGCACATAAACAGAAAAAAAATTCAAACAAACTGAAGTAGCAAGAGCAGTGTCAATAGAATTAATGGTGGTCAGAGACAACACAGTGTGGAGCTGGAGGAACACAACAGGTCAGGCAGCATCAGAGAAGCAGGAAGGTTGCCGTTTTGGGTTTGCTCAAGTATGACTATGGAGCAGGAAAGATGTTGGGAATGTGTAGGACAGTGATAAATACCATTGACCATTACATATAGGATCATTCTAGCCATCGAATATTTGCCTTCCTAACTGCCAGCTGAGCCTGCATGTTAACCTGAAGAGAATCCATAACTAGGACTCCTAACTCCCTTTGTGCTTCAGATTTCTGAAACCTTTCCTAATTAGAATAGAGTTCATACCTCTACTCTTCTTAACTAAATGCATAACTGCATGCTTTCCCACTACGTATTCCATTTGCCACTCTTTGCTTACTCTCGAACCTGTCCAAGTCCTTCAGCAGCATTCCCACCTCCTCAACATTACCTGTCCCCTCCACCTATCTTTTCGTCATCTGCAAACTTAGCAATAAGGCCCTCAGTTCCTTCATCCAGATCATTAATGCATCACATGAGTCATTGTAGCCCCAACACTGACTCCTGTGGGAACTCCACTAGGCACTGGCTGCCGTTCTGAAAAATTATCCCCATTCTTTGCTTTCTGCCAGTCAGCCAATCCTCTATCCTTGTTCTCCGGACCCAAAACGTTAACTCTGTTTTTTCCTTCACAGAAGCTGCCAGACCTGCTGAGCTTTTCCAGCAACTTTGTTTTTGTTCCTCTATCCATGCCAGCACCTTGGCCCTAATACCATGGGCTCTTCCTTTATTTTGCAGTCTGCTGTGTAGCAACTTGTCAAAGGCTTTCTGAAAATCCAAATCCTTCACACCCACTAGCTCTCCTTTGCTTAAGTTGCTCATTACCATCACCCCTTCCAACAGAGTTGTCAGGCATCACCTCCCCCGATGAAGCCATGCTGATTCAACTCAAATTTACCAAGCACTTCCAAGTACAATACATTCTCATCTTTAATAATGGACTCCAGAATCTTACCAACAACTGAGGTCAGGACTAACTGGCTTGTCATTTCCTATCTTCCGCCTCCCTCCCATCTTAAACAAGGGTGTTACATTATCAACAATTGTTTTAAATAACCAGAGACTGAAACTGCATACCCCAAGGTGTTGAGTGCTCACAGACCTTGCTAGTGGAGAAAACAAAAGGTTTTCCACCTGGAAACAAATTAAATTCCAATGTATTAATAAAGGGGCTCATAGGAAAATGTATAAATGTCACTGTTTACAGGTTAGTCAGAAGTGAATTTATTGCTGGTCTTCTAAGTCTGGGGACTGTCGCAAGGCCATCAATGCCTGGGATTGATAATTTATTGTGAATAATTTGTCTGGAAGCAAATTATAAGCTAAAACAGAAAGGGACAACCCAAGGAGGCTGGGAAGGCAGGAAAAAGACAACAATGAGCACAACAATGGGAAACCCAAAAACTGGAAAACATTCAGGAACCCTTCATAGGTCAGCAAATCCTGAGAAGGTGGAGTGGGTAAAGAAGGATCACTGAAATTAACCCGGGGGAAGTGGCAATGAGGTAGGAAATTGAAAGGTTTTCAGGAGCACTAAAGCCCATAAGGTTTGGGAGAATCCAGGAATTAACTTAAATTAAATGGAGCTTAAGTCACACCAAACAAGTCACAAACCCCTAGGGCACTACACACAAACACGCAGTCACGTTATCCTAAGGGAAGGATGGAAGATGAAGAAGCCACCCCAATGATTAAAACTTAAAGACCTGCTCCGTTCTGACTCAGGATTTGACGGTTAGTAACCACAGGACAGGGAATTGTGCAATACTTGTATGTTGAGATTTTTTAATTTAGGCTGAGAAGTTATGAGTTAAAATAACATATGATTAGGAGCATGAGGTAGGGAAACTTTAACTTTATGAAATAGTACATATTGCGTAACTGCAAACTGCCTTTCCCTAGCCTGAGAAGTCACATAGGACAGATAGCATCTGCACTCTCTTATCTTCACCACGTTCCACTTTAATTAATATATGTCTGGTTGCCTAAGTAATGACCTTGCCTTGCTAAAAACACAGTACAATTGCAGTTTGTTTTAACTTGTTTAATCAGAGCCTCCCTGACCGTCCTGTGAGACTGTGTCTTGGAGCTCTCCCTGCTGTAATCGATTGCAAGCTTGAATAAAGAAGTGCTACCGCTGAAGCAAGACTCTCGTCCTCATGGCGTGTCTTTTAGGGTTCTAAAAGACCCCCTACAATGGATAATTTAAAAAAATGGATGACAGGCCAGCACCAGAAATTAATGAACTATTCCAAGTCCATCTTCACCCCACAGCTTAAAAGGTTATTTGCGAAGTGTGATTCAATATTTCAGTTTACCATCTTGGGAAGTAATGACATGATATCATCCCCAAATTTATTATAATTGCTTCCAGCTTAGTTACTATGAGTCTGAGAGGACGGGGTTTACGATTGGCCAATTGTTTTACAGATGGAGCTACTCATAGGTTCGGCAACTCTCACAAGCAGCAGAATCCCTTTTCAGAAACTGAACTTACAATTTACTCAAACTCAAATATTAACTCTTTCTTTCTCCACAGATGCTGCCTGACTGTGAATTTCTCCATAATCTTCCATGTTTATTTCAGATTTCCAAATTGTGAACACGGAGGTAAAAAAGCTGCACAAGTGTGAAACCAACGTAGGAAGGAGAAATACATTGAGCAAAGTTGGCATGGAGCAAACACATATAAGCAGAAGGCAATTATTTCTCGAGTGACAGTAGAAGGAATATAAAGTGGAAAACGTCCTTTACTTAAAGACAAGTCCAACATAGATCAGTCAAAACAAGCTCAGTCAATTCAATTTGGCAACTAGTACATTAATTATATTTTTTAGCAAACTCATTTTCTGAATAGCCCATGATTTATCGTAGCTAAGCTTGTAAAACTAATTTGTTTACTCACTTTAAAATTACTTACCACAAATACTTTATTCACCTTCTTCCATCAATTTCTTCCCAGCTTTTTACTATTTTTGTCAATGGATTTTATTATGTCAGTCTCCTATTTTTTTCTTCTTTATTTCACTTCAGACCAATTATTTTCCTGACAGATCATGCAAGCTGAAGCTTTCCATTTGAAGTGCACACTAGGTATGATTCCCTTTGGTTTGGTACATGAATAATTGGTGTGGGCAGTGTCACGTTTAGCAAATTTACACAAGCTGATTGGAGAACTCGCATTGCAGGTTTATCAGGTACCATAAAAATTGACATTTTTAAAGAAAATTCAACGTTATACTCAATAAGTAAGGTGAATATCAAAGGTTTTTCCTTAAGGTAGGGCAGTTCAAAACTAGGGGCATATATATGATGAGAGGAGAAAGTTTTAAAAAGGACATCAGGGACAACATTTGACAAAGAGAATGGTTAGTGTGTGGAATGAACTGCCAGAGGAATTGGTGGATGCAAGTACAATCAAAATGTTTAGAAGATATTTGGATAGTACATGAATAGGAAAGGTTTGGAGGGATATGGGCCAAAGGCATACAGATGGGACTAGTTTGGGAACTTGGTCGATGTGGAGTAGTTGGACCCAAGGGTCTTTTTCATGCTATATGACTCTATGACTCCATCACTGACAAAATGACATGTTTAAGACTTTGCACTTTAAACCTTTCACTCTGACAAATCACTAAAAGCATAATTGGATTATTTTTATACGTTTATGGATGTGACGTCACTGGCAGATGAGTAATTATTGCTTTTCCCCAACTGCCTTATTGGACTCTTGACTGGGGTGTGGATTCAACTAAATTTAGTTCAGAAGGGAGTAACTGAATTTCTCTGACATGTTTCATTTTTGCAGGCAATTTTTTTTAATTTGAAGTACAGAGAGAAGCATTCCTCTTTTATAATTATTGTCCATTGTACTCTCCGCAGAGTTACATTCCTATAACAGACAGTGGTCATTTACTCCCAGTTTCCAACGGGTTCCCAATAACCTGCTTCACTGTGTAGCTACTTCGACTGACCATTTCCACAGGCTTTCCTCAGTTTTCAGAGTTTCAAGTGACCATGGGCCCAGAATTGGACATTCTCCCACAGCCGGAGAAATCAGACCTGACAGAAAATTGGCCAAACTATATTAAATACCAGCCAGCAGTTATTGGCAACAGAGAACATTGGAAACCAAGGCCAAAGAGGTCACAAAATTTCAGGAGGAAACCAGTTAGAACCAGCCTCAGGGTTGTGTATTGGAGAAGTTTCAGTCAGACTTTCTGGCATCTTTCCATCCAGTGCCTGAGGAAGTGCACTTTACACCTCCCCGGCATCAGTGAAGTGTGTTAGCATGACCCCATTGGGTGCTTTGAACCCCATGCGTGACCCTATTGGGCAAAAGGCACAGAACATCCAGGAAGGTCTGGCTTAAAAAATACTCGCTTGGACACCACCCCATCCGCAAAGACTCATAGCAGGACTCTCATGATGGAAAATCTAGACAAGTACACCACCACCGTCATGGACCACATGAGCAAATGTGTGGAGGACTGCTTGCCAAAGAAGTCAATGCGGGTGTTCCCCAACCGGAAACCCTGGATGAACTGGGAAATCCACTCCCTACTGAAGTCCAGGCATGCAGCATTCAAGTTGGACGATCCAGACCTACACAGAAAATCCAGACATAACCTCTGCAAAGCCATCAGAGATGCCAAGAGGCAGTGCCAGATCAAGTTAGAGGCCCAAACCAACAATATAGCCTCAAGCCACCTATGGCAAGGCCTAAACAACATTACAGGACACAAAATGAAGCAGAGTGAGAAAGTGGGCAAAGACACATTCCTCCCTCATGCGCTCAACACTTTTAAAGCTCAGTTGGAGCAGGATGCCAGCGTTGTGGTGTCATCTGCTCCAACAACCCAAAACACGCCTGTTCTCTCAGTCACTGCCGCAGACATCAGATCGACCTTCCTGAGAGTCAACCCAAGGAAAGCAATGGGCCCGGATGGAATCCCCAGCCATGCACTTAGATCCTCTGTGGACCAGCTGGTGGAGATATTCACCAATATCTTCAACATCTCTCGCCTACAAGCCGAAGTCCCCACCTGCTTCAAGAAGACCACCATCATCCCAGTAGCTAAGAAAACATGTGCAACATGCCTTAATGACTACTGCCCAGTGGCTCTGACTTCCATAATATGAAGTGCTTCGAGAGGCTGGTCATGGCCCACATCAACTCTAGTCTCCCAGCCTGCCTCGATCCCCTACAATTTGCCTACTGATCTAACAGGTCCACAGCAGATGCCATATCCCTAGCCCTGCACTCATCCCTGGAAGTTCCAGACAACAAGGACACCTACATCAGACTCATGTTCATCGACTATAGCTCCACCTTCAACATCATTATCCCCTCCAAATTTATCTCAAAACTCAGAGACCTAGGTCTCAGCTCCACCACCTGCAACTGGATCCTCAGCTTTCCGATCCACAGACCGCAATCAGTGAGGTTAGGTAACTGCACCTCCTCCACAATAACACTCAACAGTGGAGCCACCCCCCCACCCCCCCACCATCCTCAGCTCCCTACTGTACTCCCTGTACACCTACAACTGTGTTGCCAAATTCCGAACGAATGTTATCTACAAGTATGCTGATGACACCACTGTGGTAGGCTGGATATCAAACAACAACGAGTCAGAATACAGAAAGGAGATTGAGAGCTTGGTGACATGGTGTAATAATAATAAGCTCTCTCTCAGTGTCAGCAAAACTAAAGAACTGATAAGTGACTGCAGAAAGAAACGAAGAGAACACATCAGCCGAGCGCAGATTGAAAGGGTCGACAGTGTCAAATTCCCAAGAGTGATGGTAACTGATAACCAGTCCTGGACTTCCCGTGTTGGTGCAACAGCCAAGGCAGCGCAACAACGCCTCTTCTTCCTCAGGAAGCTCAGGAAATTTGGCATGTCCATAAGGTCCCTCACCAACTTTTACAGATGCACTATAGAAAGCGTATTGTCTGGGTGCATAACGGCTTGGAACGACAATTGATCTGCCCAGGGCCATGAAAAACTATGGAAAGTTATGTGCACAGCACAGACCATTACGGAAGCCAACCTTCCATCCATGGACTCTATTTACATGTCCCTTGTTGCCACAGAAAGGCTGCCAGCATCATCAAAGATCCATCCCACCCCTGTAATGTTCTCCTACAACCTCTTCCATCAGGTAGAAAATACAGAAGCTTGAACACATGCACCAGCAGGTTCAAGAACAGCTTCTGCCCTGCCGTTATTACACTGATGGATGAAATCCCTAACTTCAAACAATGCTGATCTTGTTAATGCTGATCTTGCCTTGTGTACGTCTATGGCAGTCACCGATCTCTCTGTGGAGACTTGCAGATCTGGAATCAGCACGGCGTAGATAACAATTTTGGACTTCTCCATGCTTTGGTCCTGCTTATGGACTGCCTCTGACGGACCAGCCTGCTGTTCCTGTGCCTACAGTTGCAATTTGATAACTTCCGAGTCCATGGAATTGTCTTCTGCCTGGGACTGAGCAGGTGTTGGGTCTCCGACAGTCCTCTGAATGCTGGAGACATGGGATGTTCCCTCCTCCACCGGCTGTGGAGATGTGTTGATGGTGTACTCAGCAGGTTGTGTGCATAAAGCGAATTTAGGTTGAGGACCCACCTTGGTGAAAGACTCTGAGCTGATGGAGGATACAGGTGAAAGCCTAGATGGTTCATCCCTTGAAGTTCAGTGGCTTGAAGATGAAGGTGGTGCCGAAGGTTTTGCTGTTTGCCTCTTCTGAGTAGAAATTTGCTGGACAAGAAAAGAACTACAGATGCTTGAAATCAGAGATAAAAACAGAAGTTGCTGGAAAACCTCAATAGGTCTGGCAGCATCTGGCTGGAGTTCTGAAGAAGGGTCACTGGTCCTGAAATGTTAACTCTGTTTCTGTCTCCACACATGCTGCCAGACTTGCTGAGTGTTTCCAGCAACTTCTGGTTTTGTTTTAGAAATGTGCTGGATGCTGCTAATGCATGCATACAAGAAGAGAGGGATTTAGTTCTGTAAGAGGGATGAAAGTTTGTACAGATTAAGAATGAGTTAGCACTGCTGTTAAATAGAGAGCAGTGAGGTACAATATAATGATGTATACTCGGTTGGTTTGCCATCAAGTCTCCTGCCTTGGCACCATGCAGCACAAAACAGCTCACCTAATTATCACCACATTCCCAAACATCTGCTCCCTCCACCATATTTGCTCAGTAGCAGCAGTGTGTACCATCTACAAGATGTACTGCAGGAATTCACCAAAGATCCTTAGACAGCACCTTCCAAACCCACAAACACTTCCATCTAGAAGGACAAGGGTAGCAGACGCTACCATCTGCAAGTTACCCTTCAAGCCACTCACCATCCCTACTTGGAAATATATAACTATGCCTTCAGGGTTGTTGGTTCAAAATCCTAGAACTCCTTCCTTAATGTCATTGTGGACTGCAGCAGTTCAAGAAGGCAGCTCACTACTGTCTTCTCAAGAAGACCCTAGGGATTGGCAGTAAATATTGTGCCAGCCAGTATTGCCAACATCCCATGAATGAATAATATTAAAAATTGAGAACTCCTTGTCCCCACATGAGCCATTGTGCTCTTCTTTGGCCAAATGGGGGAGGTGATAGCCTAATGGTATTATCACTTGATTATTAATCTAGACAACCCAGTAATGTTCTGGGGACCTGGGTTCAAATTCCAATTCCACCATGGTAGATAGTGGCATTTAAATCCAAGAAGTATCTGGAATTATGAGTCTAATGGATGACCATAAAGCCATTGTGGATTGTTGGAAAAACACATCTGATTCACTCATGTCTTTTTGGGAATCTTCACCTGGTCTGGCTTACAAGTGACTTCAGACCACAACAATGTGGTTGATTCTTAACTGCCCTTTGGTTAGTAAGGATCCACATCCTGTGAACAAATTGAAATAAAAAAATGTATGTTCTCCTGGAAAGAACTGAGGAGCATTATGTCCTCCCCACCCTGCTTGTTTTGAAGCCAGTTGTGTGCCAATTCTTCCTGCAAAGAGACAAAGAGTGGGATTTGGCATGACGGAAGTGGATGGAAGATCAGTT